CAATAATAAAATACTGGTTATCAATCTGTCAATATTTTATTAAAAACAATCTTTATTTAATAGAAAAATGTAGGTTCCCATTTACCTTTCAAAAGTTACCATTAAAATCTACGTTAGAAATATTTTTTCTTGCAATAAACTTGACATTTAACATGGTTTACAAAAATTTATTGAATTTTAAAGTATACATTTTTACGAAAAAAAAATATTATTTTAAGAAAAAATGTGAGTGATAGTATACTTTATAAATCATATTCTATATAAATTATTTAAATACTATTAAGAAAGTTGGCGAATACAACAATTAAGTAAATTACATGGAACAATGTCTTAATAATAAATGTCAGAAGGTAAAACTATTGATTCATAAAATTAGATGATTAGTAAAAAGAAATTTGATACTACCCGAGTAAAATGATATCTATTACGAGGCCGTTGAATCTAAATGAAAAGTCTATAATTTATACACATAGGTAAACACCATATTTATAAAGAGTCTGAGGCCTACTATGATTAAACTTCCTATATTACCTGCAATGTAGCAAATTTGAGTAGAGATTCTTAAATTTCATGAATATGATAGAATGTCTAAGCTCAAATATACAAACGTTTAATAGGAAAAATACTTTAATGAAAAGGGATGACGTAAATCTTTATCATAAAAATTTTTACCAATCAAAATATTCTGACATACCATTAAAAACTTATGTAATGCATAGAATACTTAAAATTTCATTCAATTTTTTTCATAACTATCAAATAGAAATGATAAAATTAATTTCTTATAAATTGGATACGATATGTACGGCGTCATGAAATTACTGTAAGGAGTAATGACAAGAGGTTTCTTAAAGTTATTATGAAACATTCCCATTAAAATCATTCGGATCTTGGCACGTAAAATGTCAGGCCTATTCATTAAAACTGATGATCTGGTTAAAAATACTTAAGTTCAGAAATCTCATAATTTAATATTAATAAAAAAATTTAATTTTAACATCCCAACATGAATCAGTTATACATATCAAGTGCTAAACAAATATAATACATATACACTAAAAATGTATAAATACATTATTATAATATCATTATGTAATGCATATTGAATTTTATACTCAGTGTATTGAGAATTTCTTTTTTATTAATATGGAACTATATCACATAGATTTATAATGTCGATCAAGAAATTTTAAAATTAATTGAATTTAAGTGTCAATGTAAAACAATATATTTTCTTTATTAGATACAAACCACTTTCCTAGAATCCTAAATGCAATAATAAGTATACCTTTGTAATCTTCTTAAAGGATTATTAAAATTATAGGAATTCATTATCGTGTACATTGATTGAGGACATTAATTTTAACATTATACTTATAAATCAAAGAATAATCAAATATAAATAAAAATATATATTGTTTAAATATTTTATAAGTGTAAATTATCCTTCAAATTAAAATTAAGTATACAACAGACAAATTTAAAACATTTAATAGCAATTTAACTTAACTGTAACACAGACAGAGAAAGAAAAACCTACAACTTCCTAAGTGTGTTATTGAGTTAGTAGTCAAGTTGTATTGAAATTAATACACTACTTCCAGATTTGAAACGTGTCTAACTATCTAGCACTTAGAGGAAGACATCGGTACAGATTTCCCTTGGGTCACTTCTATGTATACTGAATTAGGTTAGCTTAATATGAGTAGGAAGCATATTATTATTAAGTTTATCAGAGGTTCGCCAATTCAAATTTTTCGATTTTCTAAGGTTTTATAATTTAAGTATTCTATTGTAGTGAAGTCAAGGAAGTACTAAGGTTAAATAATAAAATACACAACGTTTATTATTTATTAATAAATCAGAATGATTTCAAGTATTGATATTGTTATCATGATGATCAAATACATCAACGTCATTTTTTTCATTATATTTGATGTTGTGGGTCAATGACTCGATTATTGAATTAAGTTTGTGTAACAGCTTTTCTTTGTTCACTTAATACTTCA